GCTCATCATCAATGCTATAACATTGCAAGCCTTTTCTTATTGTACATTAAGTATGACTGAATGGCATAGTTTTCAAAGAGTGGCCCAAAAACAGACAAATCTTGAATATCTGGGTCTTAGAGATCAAGACTTTAATGATTACCATTACTCTCAAAATATGATACAATTTCCAAAAGTCAAAACTCTTGATCTCTGTTATTGTAATCCTATAGAAGAGACATTTGTATCGCTGTTGAGATGTTTCCCATCACTAGAAAAACTTGTCTTAAATCAATCGTCCATTGTTTGTAATGTAAATGTGGAAGTAATGCCAAAATGTGTTACATGTTTTGGACAAACATATCATTTGATAGCAAAACATACAAAAATCATAGTATTGTGTCTTTATTATTACAATTTGAGTGATAAGACATCCGTTTTGTGTAAACAACTCCAAGAGTTTCCCAATTTATCGGCCGTTCATTTGAAGCGCTATAACAATTCAAATCTCAATGAATACAAAAAGTTTTGCCACAAAATGATAACAGATTTCATCGATTGGTATTCAATAGACCCCAAGAAATGGTTCACAATATGTGTTCACAACAATACAAAATATTTCAATATTGATCGACAAATACCCAGAAATTTAAAAATCAGAAAAGTTTTGTATTGAAAATGAATGATTACTATTTTATTATAAACTTCTAATTAAAATTGTATTTTCTTAAACATTTATTAATATTTACAAACGTTAATAAATTCTTTAAATAGTTTTACTATAAAATGTGAAGTAAATAATTACTGAGAATTGAATTTCATTAGTTCTAATAAATTTACTAAAATTTAATTTATAAATTACCAGTAAATTGTGTTACATTTATTTATTATGTATTCAAAGAATTGTGAGTTTAAAGTGTTTCTCAAAAATCCGTTCATCAAGTATTCAAAAATATTTCAAACACTTTATGTTCATTAAAAGTGTACAAAAAATCAGAGATTTGACTGAAATCAATGCAAAGTCTTAAAAATTTTATATCATTTTTGTAATTATAAAAGTTTTACATTTATTTATTTTTATAATTTTAATGGTTTTAATACACGAGACCAACAAATGGGACACATTTATTAGATACCACGCTCAATTCAAAAATCATTACATTTATTGTTAAACGCTATTCAATAGCAAACTTATGCCCAACTGTTTTGAGGCCACACATTGACCGCACCCGACATCACATCCCAACCCATCCATCACTTCGCATAGATTTATCAAATATCTGGTCCGAAGACTCTCAGCTCTCGACAGATATTTTGGTCGCCAACACATGTCTAGCAGTCGTCCCAACGGAAGCGCCGCCAATGAGGTGACGAGATGTCCCATATGTCTGTCCGATGTGACCGACCGGTCGCTGACAGACCCATGTCTTCACCAGTTCTGTTACAACTGTATCCGTGCTGTCACTCAAACGACAAGTCGGTGTCCGATATGTCGCCAACACATCGACAGTATTATCCATAATATAGCGTCCGATAGACTCTACGACCGAACGGCTGTTCAGCGCATCGATGATGACATTGATGGCCAAGACTTGGAGGAAGACGACTACAGTGAAGATGAAGTGGAAGACAATACTGATGCCCAAGACTTGGAGGACGACGACGACGGTGAAGATGATGTGGAAGTGGACGCTGACATCCCATCGGACCAGTCATCAGACGATTTGGATGATAATGAAGACAATGACACACAAAGTGATGGCAGCGAAGACATGACTGAAGAGGACGATGAAGAAGCGGATCCAATGGAAGCAATGCATGAAGAAATGGCGGCAGATATGGAGGAATTTCATGAAGAAATGCAACGATTTGGTGAAGAAATGCAAAGATTTGGTGAAGAAATGCAAAGAATGGCCGAAGAGATGGCAGAAGAAGATAACGATTCAGAAGAATCTGATTCCTCGTCTGATTAGATATTTAATTAACAAATGAATGAATTATATGTTTATAAAACCAATTATTTTCAATTTAGTGAAAAAAGTTTGTAAACAAAATTTATAAAACAATAAAATTAATGTTTATTATACCATATTTTCAAAGCATTTTAATCTATAAATGTGTAAATTTAATAATATATGCGTAAAGATAATCAGTTAACAGATCTAAAGTTACAATAACTGATACAAGTTTTGTCAAAAATAGTTACTAAATGTATTGTGAAAGTTAAATGATTAACAAACTTGTGTATTAAATTGATTGATAAAAATACAATTTCAGAGTTATTTCGATGTTTACCGCAAAGTATTAAATCATTACAACTGATCGCAGCTCTCATTGACCAGAATTGGCACAAAAAATGATTGAAACCAATGCTAAAAATTTTGGATTATTTACATAAAGTATTTGATACAAGTGTCAAGAAAAAGCATTTTGTAATTTATTTTTTACATAAATATTCAAAAATAAAATCTATTAAAAGTTTCTAATTTGGATTATTTATTTGAAAAATACAACATCTAATTAATAAATGTAAAAATGTGTATAGTTTTCTCTTGTAAATATTATACAAAAGAGTATTTCATTTCAAAAATTTCAAATACTAATAAAAATAAGTACAAATTTTTATTAAAAATCTAATTTAATTATTCTGTCATTAATGTTATAATTCGTAACCATCTCTAAATTATTTATTTGTATAGCATTTTGCTATTTATTTTAAATAAATATTAAATTATAAAATATTAGATGTTTTTGAAATTATTTATTAAAAAATTAATACAAAAATAAAATGATATAAACATCTCAAACATTACGAACAAATGTTTATTAAAAATTTAAACAATAATATAAATCAATAACTAATTGGTTTCAATACAAAACCCGGTATTTAAAAAATACGTTAAAAATTATTTTTAAATATTACACAAATTATATAAACAGTGATTCAAAATGAATGTAAATAAAGATAACAAATGTAATTCAAAACTTAAGACAGTTGTCCTCAACAATGATTTGGTACAACAGATCTTCTCATACCTCGAGATCCATGAGTTGTTACCTCTGGAGAGAGTCTCAAATCAGTTCCAGTTTTGCGCCAACTATTGGTTCCGACAACAGAAGAGCATTGCTTTCAATACAACTTTTACTACCGATCACTACAAGCCTAGGGATGATGTGATTCCCAATTCATATGCGTTTCCCAATCGATATCTTGAGACCCATTCGGACGGAAAGCCATGTCTTATAGCAAACAAAGAGCGGATACTTTGGTTGACAAAAAAGTTGCCAAACATTGAGTATTTGACAATCAGTCACTTCGACATCAATTTTCAGACTCTTTGGGATATACTCTCTGCCTTTCAATCGCTTAACTTTCTGGTGATATCGTGTGTCACTAACTTTAATGGACAACAATTCGCACAATTGGGACGACTATTATCGGGAAATGTAACCAAATTTGCCACAAATATCATCGACGAAACAGCCGATGATATGTTCGCATCGATCCCAGAGTTAACCGAATTTACATATCTATGCGTTCGTCTCAATGAGGACAACACTGCGAAAGATATATTCAAATATTTGCCCCAAACTATCAAAACATTGCTACTTTTGTCCCACGAAGTGATCGATACAGTAATAGCGCAAACAATTCTTGAAAGCAATGCTAAACAATTGGATTCGCTTTATATTTATAACGTTTATATCAAAGCCCTGGAAGTGATCGTCGATGGCATGGCTTTGGAGGCGTTTTCATACCGATTGCAGGATCCGTCACATGAGTGGCAATGCCTTCAACGGGTGGCCCAAAAACAGATAGATCTTCAATACCTGCGTCTCGAGTGTCAGTGTTTTGGCGATTACTCTAAGACTGGGAAAGTGTTTTCAAACGTCAAAACACTATATCTCTATGAATGTCGTCCAAAAGCCGAAGCGTTTGAGTCACTCATGAAATGCTTTCCAGCGCTTAAAACTCTGGTCTTATTTAATACATTCATTAAATGCGATTTCAATGAAGCAAATTGTTTGACATGTATCGGCCAAACGTACGCTTTGATCGCAAGACATACAATGATTAGACAATTGGCTCTTTATTACTTGGATTGGAGTGAAATGACAACCGTTTTGTGTAAACATATCATTGATTTTCACAATTTATCGGCCATTCATTTGAATTTTTTTTGCACTTCTAATCCCGAAGAATACGCTATATTTTGCCATCAATTCATCACTGATTTCATGAATTGGTATTCAATAGACGCGAAGAAATGGTTCACAATTTGTGTTCACAAAGATATCGCTCAAGACTTTTGTGTCGGACTTCAAATACCAAGAAATTTAAGAATTTGTAGAAATTTATATTAAAAATACAAATGCTTTTAAAATCAAATCAGTAATAAAGATATTATTTTTGAATATAGAAAATGTGAATAAAATATTTATTGTATGCCTTATACAATACCTGATATCAAATACAATTATATTGATTGTATCAATTGTATTAATTTAGGCTTTGTTAATTTGAGTTTATTCAAACATTTATTTAATTAGTGGCATATAATTTTATAAATTGACTTATTTCTATTGTGATTATTCAAATATTTCATTAAAAAGTGGCCCATAATTATGTAATGTATTGCTTTTAATATCCATTCTCTCGATATCTCCTAAAATTTTCAATTCTCCCAATAATAACATTAGATTCTGTAGTCTTGTCTGTGATTCCGACGGGTATTTCAATAGTAGATATCTTTGCAGTAAATATATATATACAGTTGTTGTTCGAGTCTATCATAAAATAAAATTTTATATTTTTAAATAAATACATTTATTTAATCTTTGCAGTAAATATATATACAGTTGTTGTTCGAGTCTATCATAAAATAAAATTTTATATTTTTAAATAAATACATTTATTTAATTAAAAATCTCTTACTTTATAGCATTTACATGCTTTAGGTTTGATGTGTTTGGGTTGAGAAGTATGATTGCTGTTAACTAGATGTATACAACATGGTTTTAATAATTCATAATTATTAACAGCGATTAACTATTTACCAGTTCCATAATAATAGGATCCCTTTCCCATACAGTTATTGCCATTTCATTAAATTGTTTTCCAATATTATATAATTTGTTATTTGCAACTTCTTTTAGCCGCAATCGGATTGAGTTCTCACAATCCTATGAATAAATTAATAAAATTAACTATTTATTAGAGAGAGAGAGAGAGAATGGATATTAAAAGCAATACATTACATAATTATATGCCACTTTTTAATGAAATATTTGAATAATCACAATTTATCGGCCATTCATTTGAATTTTTTTTGCACTTCTAATC